GATGGCTTTTCACTTCCACATTTGAGTTCATTTTAAGCCAAAAAAAAAAGAAGGGTGCAGGAGAATCTTTCAATGGTTGAAATCAAATTGGGGCATTTTGAACTAATGGAGATGAAGCTGTTCCTCCATGCACTGCTGGGATTCTTGCTGGGCGAAACAGGGGGAAGCTTTGGCATTTCCCAGCCTGATAGAGGATAGGAAAACGCTTCTCCAGAGCTGGTGGAAGAATCCTTGGCCAGCTGGAGGCAGGCTCCTAAGTCACCGAGGGGCTTCGGAAAATAGGAGCCACCTTGCTGCTGCCCTTGTTTTTGTCTGAAGCCACAACTCAGCATCACATCTGAAGAAGACTGGAGAAAAGCCAGCCAAAAAGAAGAGCTCCCTGGCCCCTCCATCCCCTTGTAGCCCAGATGCTGCAGCCACGCTTGGGGCTGGACAGCGGGGACGCCCGACAGCCGCCCCACCAAGGTCCCCGTGTGCTGAGGTGTCACCCTGCCCTTCCCAGGAACAGGGGCGGGGAGCAGGGAGGATGGGTGTCTCCGGCACTGGTTGCTGCAGCAACGGGTCCTAGACAAACCAGGCTCTCAAGGACATTGTGGTGGGGCAGGAGCCGAGCCTTTGTTGCCGGCGCTTTCCCAGCAGGCCTTGCTGAATAGGTGCGAGTTCATGAACCCTCCCGGCGGCTGGAGAAGCAAACAAAGAGCTGACCTTTGGCCTTGCTAGGATGCTGCAGCCAGCCCTGCCTTGTCCTGCTACCCACACCATGCAAAATTCAAGGGCTTCCCCTTGCCGGGGTCTCCAGCCTACTCGGAGCCGGGATCCTCCCTTGGACTGACCCGTTGCAGCCCCAATTCGGGCTAGGAGAACCCACAGCCATTCTCTTCCGCCCTGCTTGCGTCCGGGCAAAAGACAATCACACAAAAAAATGGGTCCGTTGCTCTGGCTCCTTCTCAAGGGTCAGATGATGGTGTGGTACAAGAGGAGATGGATTGGGAGAGGATGGAAGAGAACGGCACTTAGATGCCTCAACCCACTTGGATTCAATGGAGGGATTTAGAGGAGGTGGATTTGGAAAGGACGGAAGAGAACTGCACTTAGGTGCCTAAACCCACTTGGATTTAGGGGTAGGATCTAGGCCTGGAGGCCTATTTGCTAGTGCCGGGATGGGCTGACGAGGCGGGGGTGGGGGACGGGTCTCATGGTAAGCTGTGATAGTTCCCCCTGTGCAACTATCTAGGGCTAGAGGGTTCCTCTGATAAGGCCCCTTTAACCAGCTCCTGGAGGTTGGAGGGAGCCTGGGAGGACATCTCCGATCCCCCATAACAGTGCATGCTGCCCTCTGTGCCTCTGGCTCTTCTCCTGGTGAACACCCACACAAACACACACACACATACGCATGCATGCACCAACACACTTTTACCAATCAGCTGAGGTCTGCTGGCTGGGCAGGATCAAGCCCATTTGCTACATGGGGGGCAGGGGAAGCAGCGGGGAAAAAAGCAAACACCCAAATAATTGCCCTCCCAGGCAGGCCTGGGGTCCCCAGTCTCAGCCTTGGCACCACTGAGACTCAAACTGCAGTTGCTACCCGTCTCTTATGGGCCAAATCAAGAGCAAAAGGAGGCTGGGAGCCCGGGTTTGGTCCTCAGCTCTGGAAATGCAGACTAGTAGTTAGAGCAGAGAGGTCTGGGAGCCTGGATGCCATCTTCCAAGAAATCCAGTTGTAGCTCCAAAGATGATCACCGACAAACCAGCATGCGTGCCGCCCTACAGCAGATAGAAGTCGCAGCTGCTCTGGGGCAATCAGCTTCACTTCAGCACTTGGGATGAAGTCGGCCTCAAAGCTGAGCTCCAGGGACGTGAGACCAAGGCAGCCCCTTGTTGGGCTGAGAGCAGCGGTGGGGGGACAATGACATTTGGAGAATCCAACAGGTGAATGCAAGAGCAGTGACCACCCGCCTCGGCGTATGGGATAGATAGAACCTGGCATCTCACGGCAGATGCTTCTGGCATGTCTCTGGGAGGACTTGGCTCACAGAAGAGCAGCCCTGGGGTCGCTCGTGTGCGCCAGCCTCCCCAGCCCTGCTCTGGAGACAGCCCAGGGCAGATTTTCATGGACCCAAGGCTGGAAGGGCCTGTGACTACAATCTTGCCTTGAGTGCAAGTCCTACCACAGCAATAGGGAACCCCCTGTTCACTCTGGTTTGCCCATAACCAGAGCCCACATCGAGATGCCCCCCCACAAAAAATTGGGCAGCCACCAGACTCAGAGCCTCTGAGCAGTGGGGAAGTGGTTAGGCCAGATCCCTTCAGGGTGCATGCGTCCCCGCTCTTTGCTAAAGCATCCTGTAAAGCAGTAGCCAGCAGTGCATCCAAGTCTGGCGGCTGAGGTGGGCCCATGCGCTAGCACTCTCTCCCCCTTAATCTGCAAGATGGGTGCAGATGCCTGCTGTCCAGCCCCAGCCCAGGGGCAGCGAGGCCAGATGGAGCAGCTGGACACAGCCTGCAGGCTGCATATTTGACGCCCCTCCTCTAGGAGAAGTTAAAGGAACTACTTTCCCATGAAGCGCGGGGTTAACCTGTGGGACTCCAAGCCGCAGGAGGTGGGCACGAGATCGAGCCTAGAGCAGCCACTCTCATGCTTCAAGGCATCAAGCAACTAGGACGTCAGAGGTCAGGAATGGTATTTTATCCCTTCATGGGTTTTGCAACTCCGCAAGGTCTGGCACTGTCTGGAGCTTGCACCTCCTGCAGGCTGCTGGCTTGGAGTGCCAAGCGGTTTGATTCTGCATGACAAGGGGTAGAAAGCCAGCTGCGATGGAGCCAGGGCACTACCAAGACACCGAAGCCAGCCTGACATGTTGCTCTCAGGCTACGGTTTATCAGCAGTGGCCATGAAGTCCATGAACAAGGGGACAAGGCTGTGTGTATCACAGGGCACAGCACGGCGGAGGAGGGGGAGAGGGGGGATCCCCGTTTGGCACCCCTGCGCCCAGCGCTGCCCATCCAGCCAGGCCCCCGCTGTCGAATCTCAGCTGATTGGCACCGGGAGTGATTTATCCAGGCTGCGAAAGACACAGACCAACGCGGCTGTTATCAGTGCCCAAAAGCGCCATCCGTAAATAACCCAGCAGGCGAGAGCCACTCCGCTCGTTATTTATTAGGAGTCGTTTGTTCGGCATTCGTAGGGACACAAGGAGGAGCTCGCGGGGAAGGGCGGGGAGGGGTCTAATCCACAGGCTTGAGCTTTGGCGCCGGACTCCTGGGTCCCATCCTCAGTGTTGAGAGGGGAGTGTGGCCTAGGGGTTAAAGGAGAGGGCTGGAAGCCAAGACTTCGGAGCTCCAGACCTTAGGGAAGGAAGTGAGGGCCAGGGCTTTCGCGGAGAGGGCTGGGTGCCAGGACCCCTGGGTTCCACCCCCACCTCCGGGCTTGGAGTCTAGCGGGCTGTCGGAAGCCAAGATTTCCTGGCTCCTATCACTGCTCTGTGCCTCAGTTTCCCCACAGACATTGCAGATTCATGACCTCTGTGGGGGGCCGGGGAAGGCGAAAGGCAGAGAGAGACAGCAGATTGGGGGGTGACTTGATTTCAGACTCCTCCCCACAAAACACCTGGAGAATCAACCAGTACAAAAGCTCTGACTTGAACGGCTTTTGGTTGCCAGCATTGAACTAAGAGAAGGGGGTGGGGGAAAGCCACCGGAATCATATTTCCACCCCGCTCCACCCCAGTTCATCATCAAAGACGCAGAAGATTTCAAAAGCAGGGAAAGCGCCCGTGAACGCTTTGATGCGGAAGAATCGTTCTATTTGTCTTAAGTGGAAAAACATCTGGTGGAAGCCAACATTTCCCATAGTTCCTTCCTCCCCTTTTGACGCATGGTACTGCTATCACTAGCATCAAAGGCACTGTTGAGGGTGCTGGGGCTGGGTTTAAAAGCCAAGGTTTCTAGTTCCAGCTTGTTTGCAATTTGGGGTGGATGTCGTATACTCAGACTTCAGGAAGGCCTTCGATACGGTATCCCACCCCATACTGGTGAACAAGTTAAGAGGCTGTGACTTGGATGACTACACGGTCCGGTGGGTGGCGAATTGACTGGAGGGTCGCACCCAGAGAGTCATGGTGGATGGGTCGGTTTTGACCTGGAAGGGTGTGGGCAGTGGGGTCCCGCAGGCTCGGTCCTTGGGCCGATACTCTTTAATGTCTTCATCAGCGACTTGGACGAGGGAGTGAAATGTACTCTGTCCAAGTTTGCAGATGACACAAAGCTATGGGGAGAAGTGGACACGCCGGAGGGCAGGGAACAGCTGCAAGCAGACCTGGACAGGTTGGACAAATGGGCAGAAAACAACAGAATGCAATTCAACAAGGAGAAATGCAAAGTGCTGCACCTAGGGAGGAAAAATGTCCAGCACACCTACAGCCTAGGGAATGACCTGCCGGGTGGCATGGAAGTGGAAAGGGATCTTGGAGTCCTAGTGGACTCCAGGATGAACATGAGTCAGCAGTGTGACGAAGCCATCAGAAAAGCCAATGGCACTTTATCGTGCATCAGCAGATGCATGACGAATAGGTCCAAGGAGGTGATACTTCCCCTCTATCGGGCGCTGGTCAGACCGCAGTTGGAGTACTGCGTGCAATTCTGGGCGCCACAATTCAAGAGGGATGCGGATAACCTGGAGAGGGTCCAGAGAAGGGCCACTCGTATGGTTAAGGGGTTGCAGGCCAAGCCCTACCGGGAGAGACTAGAGAAACTGGACCTTTTCAGCCTCCGCAAGAGAAGGTTGAGAGGCGACCTTGTGGCTGCCTATAAGTTCAGGCAAAGCGCTGCTCGACCTGGTACTGGCTACTGGGGATGACCTAGTCGGCGACCTAGTGATCGATGGGAAGCTGGGTGACAGCGACCACGAGCTGATCACCTT